AACTCGAAGGCAACTATTTAATTGAAGAAATTTTTTTTCTGGGGTGACTAAACTATCAAATTCTATCAATTTCGAAGAAAATAAACTGTACATAAATATTCTATACTATTTGAAGATTAATATTGCCGGTTAGAAATAGCGAAGTTTAAGCATGTGGATGCTTTTTAGACTCTTACAATTCTTACTAATACTAATCTAATATTAATTTGTTTAGTACAAAATTAGAAACTTTTAAGTTTTAAGATGTTTGGGTAAACACCAAAATGCTTATGAGCATCATCAGCTTATCAAGACATTTTGTTAAAACGAAAAAGTGCATAAAAATCACTCAGACATATCATAGGCATTTTTGTATAGTTGAAGATTTTTATTCATAATTTTTTAGGTACTTTCCAATCACAATCCTTAGTCTATCTTTATCTCATATTTGTCATTGACCCTTTTAATCATCTTTTATACTTTAAAACTTATTTTGTAAACTTCGAAAAACTTTGTTTATGGCTATTGAGTGGTTAGTATTTAAAACTCAAACGATAATAAATGGACACTTTGGCTTATAGGACCCTTATCTAAAGGAAAAATAATTATCAATTTTAAATATATTTTTATTTTGTTATCATTTTTGTCAACTTTTAGAAATACTTAAAACAATTTTGTATAAAGAACTTTCAACTTAACAAAAGTGTTGTATCCAATTGAGAACTAATCAGGAATATTTATTCGCTCATTCGTTCATTACTTCTTTCGCTTTTCTTTCTGGTCCTCTCTGAAAATTTTAGGATTTTGCCGTTATTTCTTCACTACTAAAAAAAATAGTGAATACCAATCTAAAAATTATCGACCTCAAATGATGTCGGTAATTTCTGACCTCCGGAGGTCAGTATTGTTAAAAATAATAAAACTAGTTGGTTTTTAGGCAAAATAAAGAGGGAAAAAAATTCCGACCTCAAACAGTCGATATTTTTTGTGGAAAAAATTAATTACAATAAAAACCGACTTCTTTATGTCGGTATTAAATAAAGTAAATGAATAAACATATTTTATTTTCGATATTTTTATTTCATCAATATTCAAATATCAACATCATAAGGTCGATATTTTTATTTCATTCAAATACTGATATCATGAGGTCGGTATTTTTGTTTTATCCAAATACTAACATCGTGAAGTTGGTACTTTTATTTCATCCAAATTGAGGTCGGTATATTTTCTTCATCCAAATATCGACCTCATGTGGTCGGTATTTTTACTTCATTTAAATACCGACTTCATGAGATCGGTATTTATCTTTCATCTAATATTAGGTCGGTATTTTTATTTCATTCATATCCGAATACCGACATCATGAGGTCAGTATTTTTATTTCATCCAAATACTGACATCATGAAGTCGGTATTTTAATTTCATCCAATTACCGACCTCATGAAGTTGGTATTTTTCTTCATCCAAATATCGACCTCATGAGGTCGGTATTTTTACTTCATCTAAATACCGACTTCATGAGATCGGTATTTATCTTTCATCTAAATACCGACCTAATAAGGTTGGTATTTTTATTTCATCCATATCCAAATACGACATCATGAGGTCGGTATTTTTATTTCATCCATATACTAACATCATGAAGTCGGTATTTTTATTTCATTCAAATACCGACCTCATGAAGTCGGTATTTTTCTTCATCCTAATATTGGCCTCATGTGGTTGATATTTTTACTTCATCTAAATACCGACTTCATGAGATTGGTATTTATCTTTAATCTAAATACCGACCTAATGAGGTCGGTATTTTTATTTCATCCATAACCAAATACCGACATCATGAGATTGGTATTTTTATTTTATCCAAATACTTACATCATGAAGCGGTACTTTTATTTCATCCAAGTACCGACCTCATGAAGTCGGTACATTTTCTTCTTCCAAATATCAACCTCATATGGTTGGTATTTTTACTTCATCTAAATACCGATTATGAGATTGGTATTTATTTTTCATCTAAATATCGATCTAATGAGGTCGATATTTTTATTTCATCCATATCAGAATACCGACATCATGAGGTTGATATTTTTATTTCATCCAAATACTGACATCATGAAGTCGGTGTTTTTATTTCATCCAAATAACGACCTCATGAAGTCGGTATCTTTTCTTCGTCTAATTATCGCCGTCATGAGGTCGGTGATGTTATTTCAGTTAAATACCGACCTCATGAGGACGATTTTGCGTAAATTAAAAAACAAAAAATATTATAATACCGACTTCCAAAAATCGGCAAAATTAAATATCATGTAACTCAATTAGTTTTAATTTAAATATTTATATCGTGCAATTAACTTTAAATAAATCGTACTCTGATAACGGTTTTATATAAGTTAAAAAATAAACTAATATAAAATACCGACCACTCGATGTCAATATTATTTATTTAATATGATTCCTTTTATTTTTCTTAAAATTTTAATGTGATACCGACCTAATGAGATCGGTATTTTTTTATGGAAAAATAACTTATATACACACATTAACTTAACTTAATATCCATTTATCCCTACATTTTTAAAAAATTTCAAAAATCCCTTAATTCCTTCAATACATAAAATCTTTCACATACATAAATATTTCACTCCTATTTTCAATCTATATTCACGTTTCTCACGCCCCATTCTATTCCTTCATTTTATCCCTAAATTCTCTCCACTTCTTTAGCATTTACAAATTTTAAATTTATTTTGATTTTCAGTAGGTATTACTTATTATTTAACAATAATTAATATAATATTTGTAGAAGTTCACCTTTTCTATTGTTATTGTTTTTTTATTCGTCTTTTTCCTTCTTTGGTTTAATACTTGTTTTATTTTTCTTTTATTTTCAAATCACTATTGGGTTTGATATTTGCATTTGATTTCTTTATTTTTATTAATAAAACTCACCTCGTGTGTATAATTAAAATATATATATATAATACTTGTAAATTGTTCATAATTTGAGTTGGTTATGGATTCTAACAACTAATCATAATTAAAATTGATTATGATTCTTATATTACTACTAATCTTCTAATTATCTCATAATAATATTAGTTTAAATTTCACCAAAATTTCATACGGTTTAATATTTTTCTCCTTATTCTAGTGTTTTTCATAAACAAATTTCTTTCATGAATTGTGTTTGTTCATATATCTAATTGATAACTTAATTCTTTGTTATTGTGATACATTTATAGATACATATTATTTCAGATTAGGTACATCCTTTTTTTGACAACCTTATTGTATCAGATACATTAATATCAACTACAAAATCATACATTATATAAGCATACATATCTTTCAAGGCAAACAGTATGATACTCATCAATATAAATGAAATACATAGATAGTATTGTATCATGCACTATTTTTTTTAGATATGATACGTAAATTCAAATTTATACTAAATGTATCAATTACATAGCAACTATTACACTGTAATGTATCGATCTCTAATCTAACATCTTATGGGAAACAATTACTTATTTAATGTATCTAGCATAAACAATAATGATACATACATAGTAATGTATCATGCACTAACTTTTAGATATGATCGTAAATTCGAATTTATACTAAATGTATCAATTGCATAGCAATTACCACGCAATAATGTATCGATCTCAAATCTAACATTGTATGGGCAACATTTAGAGGATTTATTTAATGTATCTAATATAAATATAATACTTATAAATTTAAACAAGATACATAAATAGTAAAATGCTAAATAACAAAAATATTCATGATGTATCTTCTTGGATCTTCAATAAACTAGGAGAAGAATTTTGAATCTCAAAATTTTCAATAATTTTGAATCAAAATAGAAAGGATATTAGTTGAACTTGAAGATTCGCAAAAGAAATCGTTTGTCCAACAACAATTCCATACAATCCTTCATAACTCACCTCTTTCAAAAATTTTGACAATTTTTTTTATGAAACAGAGAGAACGACGATCAAGAAGAAGAAATTTAATCTTTTGTTTTTTTTTGGTTTGTTGCACTATAGGATTTTGAATTATTGACAATGATTTGAATGGAATAACGTAATTTATGGGATATTAATTTAATTTTCAGCCTTTTTATCCTTAATTAGTGCAACAAATAGATACTATGAAATTTTAAATTGATTTTAAACTTTTTTTTTCCTTAATAAATGCAACAGATTGATACATAATGTATCAACAATGATGTATCCGGATCCTTAATTATGTATTTGTAATGTCTAAAAATATGGTATTAATGTAATTATAAATATAATAGGGATATAAGGTAATTAAAATTTTACATTATGATATTTATGTAAGTTATACTTTTTTTATTATATCTAATTCATTTTAATAAAAGCGTCATTCGGAGGTTGGTTTCTTTAAAATATTTTTAATAATCATAATTTTTATTATTTAGCACAATACTTTGTTCAAAAGTGTAATAATTTTGTATACTTTATCATAAAAAGTTAAACTTCGTGAAAAAATTTAAAAAATAATATATAATCCATATTTAGAGAATGAAACTACGTTAATGTGAATTAGGATATAATTATACTTATATTTCTATAGTAATTTACAAATTTATTAGTCCGTACAAATCTTTCATACGTTGAGTAATTATGTATGAAATACATCATCAACGAAAGAAATATCAATGATCAATTTAAGGCGAGATTTATATATTATATTTGAATTTATATAATTAGGAGGAATATAATTTAAATTTATAAAATTAACTTGATCGACAAATTAAATTTATTAAATTAAACTTCTATTGATTTTATATATATATACTGACCTATTTAAATTATTATTTTATTTAAATAATATTGACTTTACAATGTTAATTTTTATTAAATATAAATAATTATTTTAATAAATACCAACATTTCGTCATCAATAAATTAATTATTCTATTAAATACTTTCTCTAAAAAAAAAAAAGAATAATATAAAACCCTAAGTCAAATTTTCTCTCTCATACTCACCCCCTTCACCCGCCTCTCTCTCTTTCCCTCATCTCTTCTCCCCTCGCCCCGCTTTCCTCTTCTCCTCCTCCGAACGGATCACCGGCGAGCAGCAGCCCCGGCGACTCCTCTCTCTCCCTCTCGTCTTCCTCTTCTCCTCTTCCCTAGACCCCTCTCTCTTTTCCCATCCTCTCTTCTTTCAGCGAACTCCAGGCTGCCAGCAGCTCCAACCAGCGACAGCAAGCCTGCAGCTCGGCTAGAGGGCGATAGCAACAACACCAACTGCTCAAGCTGAGGCTCAAAATCCTGTGATTTCGTACCAAACGGATCTCCTCAGATCCGTCCAGGTTTGTTTTCCCTTTTTGTTATTACCTCATAATTTTCTTAATGATGTTCATAATTTATCAACAGCTTGTTATCCCTTTTTTATTATTACCTCATAATTTTTTTTATTGATGTTCATTAGTCTTTAGGACCACCTAAAGGAACTAGTTTTCTGACTTTCTGCTTTCTGCAATGCCAATAATCCCTCAGTAAAGGAGGAAAGTGATGCATTATTTGGTTGCACTAATGGTTAGGTATCACTTAATAAATATAATTGCAGCAGCCTTTACTAAGAGTAAAAACTCCATACTATGTAATTAAAATCACGCTGAGGTGTTATTATTTCTATAGTTTTTGAGAAAATAAAGTAGATGGAAGATGTAACACTATTACTAGGAAAATATTCAAAAGCATTAATGAAGAAAAATAATAGAATGTAGGTAGGTGGTTTTACAATTTAATGTGATAGTTAAGTTCAATTGGTTAAGCATTTGTGGACATTAGAGGAAGGGGAAGCTTTAGTACTTGAGATGAGAGAGAGTGTCTGCAATGCAAGTAGAGATTCACATGACATTGCGAAATCAATGATTACTTAATGCAACAGTTCAAAAAGGTTGCGGTAGAGTGGTAAATACTATTCACTTCATTAGTAATTAGAGGCTCAAATTCGAGTACTTGGAATAAAGTTGTTACTGATAAAGAGTATTTTACCACCTAAACCAATATTGACATCCATGGAGTGGATCTTGCTATTAAAGAGTATTTTAATCCAAATTAGCCAGATAGGAAAACTAGTACCATACATGGAGTTTAGGTTAACATAATAATCTGAAAGATTCAAAAGCTTGAAATGGTATGAAATTTGCACTTTTGTACTGTTCTATCATGTTGGGCTCCATTAACAACAAAATTTCAATCTCTGAAGCCACTGATCAGTTCAGTTGTACACTTGGTACTGTTTTTTGCTCAAAATATGGACCCTTTTGTTATCACTTGACCATCCAAATTCAAATCTTAATGTATATAGTAATAAATCTTCTATATTGATCATCGTTAAATATATAATGTGAGAATTATTTCCTTGCATGTGTTATACTTTTATTATGAAAAATTGATTTTGTTTACCTTAATTAAATTGATTCTGTTTACCAATCGTTTTTGTTTTCATTTAGTTGAAGTGTCTCAATATTAGCTAATCTAGTAAATTGCAACTACTTGATAAAAAAATGAGAATCAAGATTTTTTGATTCAAAAAGTCGAAAAAATGAGAATCAAGATTTTTTGATTCAAAAAGTCGAAAAAAGTAAGTAATAAGCTAATAAAAAACGGAATTAAGTTGGTTAATAAGTTAAATTGGTGAATATATTATTGAATTAAGTTAAAACTAAACTAATTAGACTTAGAAAGTTGTTAAGTTGTTTAATAAGTTAAATTGGTGAATAAAGTGTTGGAATTAAGTTAAAACTAAACTAATTAAACCTAAAAAGTTGGTTAAGTTCTTCAAATAAGCTAATGTGATTTAGTTGGTTACGATAGTGTTGGAAATTAAGTTAAAACTAAACTAATTACACTTAGAAAGTGTTAAGTTCTTCAAATAAGCTAATGTGATTTAGTTGGTTAATATAGTGTTGAAATTAAGTTAAAACTAAACTAATTAGACTTAGAAAGTTGTTAAGTTAGTTAAAAGTTAAACTGGTAAATATAGTGTTGGAATTAAGTTAAAACTAAACTAATTAGACTTAGAAAGTTGTTGAGTTGGTTAATAAGTTAAATTGGTGAACATATTATTGGAATTAAGTTACAACTAAACTAATTAGACTTAGAAAGTTGTTAAGTTGGTTAATAAGTTAAATTGGTGAATATAGTGTTGGAATTAAGTTACAACTAAACTAATTAGACATAGAAAGTTGTTAAGTTATGTTGGTTAATAAGTTAAATTGGTGAATATAGTGTTAGAATTAAGTTAAAACTATACTAATTAGACTTAGAATGTTGTTAAGTTGTTTATAAGTTAAATTGGTGAATATAGTGTTAGAATTAAGTTAAAACTAAACTAATTAGACTTAGAAAGTTGTTATGTTGTTTAATAAGTTATATTGGTGATTATAATGTTGGAATTAAGTTAAAACTAAACTAATTAGACTTAGAAAGTTGTTAAGTTGGTTAATAAGTTAAATTGGTGAACATATTACTGGAATTAAGTTACAACTAAACTAATTAGACTTAGAAAGTCCTTAAGTTGTTTAATAAGTTAAATTGGTGAATATAGGGTTGGAATTAAGTAAAAACTAAACTAATTAGACTTAGAAAGTTGTTAAGTTGGTTAATAAGTTAAATTGGTGAATATATTATTGGAATTAAGTTAAAACTAAATTAATTAGACTTAGAAAGTTGTAAAGTTGTATAATAAGTTAAATTAGTCAATAAAGTTTTGTAATTAAGTTTAAACTAAACTAATTAGACTTAGAAAGTTGTTAAGTTCTTCAAATAAGCTAATGTGTTTTAGTTGGTTAATATAATGTTGGTATTAAGTTAAACTAAACTAATTAGACTTAGAAAGCTGTTAAGTTCTTCAAATAATTTAATGTGATTTCATTTTCTAATATAGTGTTGGAATTAAGTTAAAACTAAACTAATTAGACTTAGAAAGTTGTTAGGTTCTTCAAATAAGTTAATGTGATTTAGTTGGTTAATATAGTGTTGTAATACTAAGTTGCAACTTACTAATAAATTGTGTCAATTATAATCCAATAAATTGTAATACAACTTGATTGATTTGGAAAAAGATAATGTGAATACATATATACAAATTAACTACTTATATTAAAAAATAATAGATGTATATTGAGATTCACTATTTGTGTGTACAAACAATAATGTGACTCATACAAAAGATTGATCATTCGTTTTCAAAAAATAATAAAGGCTATTACATTTTACTGTGAACAGAAAACCATATACAGAAGTGCATTGGCATACCAAAAGTGACCACATAGTTCAAAATTATAAATAGTTGATTTTTCAATCTTTCATTAGTTAGTTCATCCCTCCAAGTAGCCCATTCATCAAATGCTTCAATTGTATTAATATATTCATGTTGATTCTCCATGTGGAATTTCATTTCCACATCTAAGGGATCAACTTCCATCTCTCTTCAAATGAAATTGTGCATCAAAAGACATGTACTAATAATTCTATCGTGAACCTTAATCGAGTACTATGAATGACTTCTAAGAATTTTTCAATGTCGTTTTAATAGTCCAAATGTTCTTTCAATAACATTACGCGCCTTAATATGCTTCATATTAAAGAGATCTTCTTGACATCGAAGTGATAAATTGTCACCCGGCCAATCCTTTAGCCAATATCTATATCCTTGATAGGAAGACACAAAACCATTTACATTTGTATATCTTCCATCACACAAATAGTAATTGCCTAAAATTGTAATCAATAATATTATTACTTTAACTATTATTCTATTTTGATGTGGTAGAAATAAAATAAGGACTTGCCTATTATTAGCTTTTAACCCATTTCTTCGTACAACATCTCGCAACGACCATGTATACATAAATAAATTTTTTGAAATTTCTATCACAAACCCCCCCAAAAATCCCAGCGAATACCCTATTCAAAGCCCAACCCCATCAAAAAAATTTCCAACGAATACAACCTTATTTACCCCAACAACATCAAACTCCATTGAAGAAACAAATTATTTTTTTAAAACTTTCCTCGAAATGAATTACGCTCACAACAATTAATAAAACCTAATTAGAAAATAGTAGCAACTACCTTAACAAATCATCAAAATCCCCCTTTTAACTAACCCCTCTTTGTAAATTAAGGTTAGAGTATAAATAGAAAGAGAGGAAATTGGGGACTGACAAAGTCTTTTAGTATTGACGAAAAGACTGAGAATTAAAAGCAAGATTCTTGTCTTGATTAATCCAAGTGAGTTTCTAAAATTTTTTCATTTTGCAATTGTTGAAACCTCAAACAATTTCGTAAAGAAGCTGAAAAGTTCATGGGTAAAGAAAGGTCATTGGCACCAGATGATAATTTGAAGACTCTTGTCATGGTAGTAGCAACCATGGCTGCTGAAGCAAGATTAAGAGTTTCAATCTTTCAATATCCCCTCCAAAGTTTGCTTTTTATGGAGCTTCTATTTATATAATAAGGTTGGACTTTGGGTCGGATATCAAATAAAATAGCAAGTGAAGCAGATCAAAAAATTAGAGATGAGTTTTTTAAAAGTTGTGCAGCGACATGGCATTCCGTCATATATATATATATATATATATTTCGATGATGAAAAGTTGGATTACCATTTAACCCCTAGACTAAATTAAACATCTTATTAATTCTATAATATTATTTTATTTTTAAAAAAATTAAGTTATTTATTAGGAAGAGAATGTGAAAGAACAAGAGTCAATTAGGATTTCTTATATTAATATAAATATCATGTGATGTTAGAAATCTACTCTTTTTTTTAATGAAAGAATAATAATAATAATAATAATAATTATTATTATTATTATTATTATTATTATTAAAAAAAAGTGAGAAGAAATTTAGGAAAAAGTTAAATTGTTGTTTTCCCAATATTAAATTAAAATGTTATAAAATATCTAATTTATTATATTAAGTTTTACAATAATATAATTGATATGTATTTGAGTATGCAGATGGATTAATTCCGTGGTACTGCCACTTATTTCAATACTCTAAAATGACTTGTCATTTTCCCACACCAATTCAATGTTTTAAAGTTCTTTTCAACTTCTAACTGTTAACTTTGTGGATTTATAAATAGTCAAATTAGTGAATCATGCTAGACTAGATCCATTAATGTTCTCCCCCTCCCCTTCTTCTAAAATCATCTTCAATGTGATTGGTAGGGTTTCATTGATATTTCTCATATGTCGATTATGAATCATTAACTTATTATTATGCTTGATTATGAATTATTTTTGGGGTGCTAATAATTTTATCACGATATACATAGTTTCTTCCTTTATAAATTGAACATAAAATGTTAGTCCACTGGACTTTCTTATGAACATTTTAATTTATTTATTGTTCTTTCTTATTTAGACTAATATATTGATTTGTTTAATCTTTTTCATTTTGTATGCATATGATGATATATATATATATATTAATTATATTTTTTAAGTTTCATAATCTCAGGGAAGAGTCCATATATCTTGTTGTAGTTACAACATGGGGATTGGCCATGGTGTTGACTCCCTCATTGTTGTATTGCTGCTGAGTTCAATGGTTTCCACTTGTGTTGCTTACCGCCCCGGTGACATCGTTCCAATGAGCAAAATGGGTCAATACCACTCTGTACGTATAACCCGTTTACTATTTCAATTTACAAGCTTTTATGTTTGATTTTTTTCTGTGGTTGATTTACTTGCAGTCGAGGACTGTTTGGCATGATATGATTGGAAAACATTGTCCCATTTTCGGGGTTAATCGGGAGGTAATTTCATTTCCTTATACATTTCTTGAGTTTGTGCTTCTGGGGTTGTAACTTTTTAGGGATTTTGCTGTTGATCTCTTTCATTTTTGTGTTATTTCATGGGGTTGAAATTTAATTGGTGTAGGTGTTGATACCGATTCCAAAACCAACTGGTTTTACTGGAGCTGATCCTTACAAGATGTGAGTTTCATGAAAGACAAAACTTCCCGCTTTTTCTTATTTTCTTGGAAATTCAATCTACTTGTTTTGCCTTAGATTTATTATGGTGGGATTCAACTTGCACATTCATGATAGTGCATCTGATATTGGAGTTTTGGTATGGGAGTGGGTTCATTTTAGTCCTTCAAATATAACTTGAGCATTTTTTATCCCTTAGCTTTTTGGTCTCCCGAACATAATCCACTTAAAAGTAATGGTGTTAAACCCATGTGACATCCACACGGCTTGTAATATATGAAACCCATCGCACAAACTCATTTTCCTATTCTAAGGGAGAGTTGTCGCACTTTACGACCATTTTGTTGTTGCCTTTAAGGGAAAATGGTTATTGTTTTCGAGTAGGACTGATAATTGTGTTCTTAGGTATTGTCTTCTGATATAAGTAGCTACTACTATATTAATCCTAATAAATGAAGAGCGCAAGAAGAAATAAAATGTGCATCAATCAAGAAAGAGGGTCCCTTATTTCTTTCCCTCATTCAAAGCCGTCCATGAGACTTTCATCTCACACGTCTCCTAAGTGATAAAAGAAATATTTTCTTCCTGTTTTGATTGCCTTCCTTGTGTATGTATAAGACCTAATTTGTTCAGTTTCTTAAAAGGATTATGTTGAGCTGCTTTAGAATTTTTCTGTTTTGGGTTAACCAAAGATGCATAGAAGATACTGCTTCAATGATAGACACCCTTGTTTTTTGTTAGGCTGATGAAGCAGTTTGTTCTTCTTTTTCACTTGTAAATATGGTTTCAGCCCAACCAAGGTGTTCTATTGATAAATATATACACATATATTTGGTCTTCATGTCAACTGGAGAAGAAGTCTTACTCTTTCCCATCAATGTACCTCAGGTACACATTTAAGCAGACAATCTTGCTTTTGGGGCAAAAACCTTATAAAGATATGGAAGGTCAGCCTTTATCTTAGCAAGTAAATTGAGATACTTGATAGGTAAACTCAAAGTCCTCGGAAGACCAACCACTAAGTCCAAGTCCGAACCTCAATAATCTGAGTCAGACCACCAGGCTTAAGATGCTTTGCCTTAACCTGCTGACAATTAGGACACTTAGCCACATATTCTGCAATGTCCTTCATGCCATCCCACCAATAAATCTGCTTAAGATCATGATACATTTTGGTGGACCCTCAATGTATGGAATATCTGGAACCATGGGCCTCTGCCACAATCCTGGTCCACAAATCATCCACATCTGGTACACACAGCCTGTCCTGGTATCTAAGTATGCCATCACCTCCCAAAGCGAAGAAATCATTCATTTTTAACAATATCGAGTCCTTCAACTCTATCAACACATGATCAAGATGCTGACCCTTCTTGACTTCAACTACCAAGGATGATTCAGAACTAGGATGAACTGAAACACCCCCACTAGTAGAGTCAACCAATCGCACACCCGGTCTGGCAGTCTGTGTACCTCTTTCACAAGCTCTTTCTTCTCATCCTCAACGTGGGCTGTACTTTCCATGCTCGTCCTGCTCAAAGCATCATCTACAACATTAGCCTTACCTGGATGTAGTGCACATTCATGTCATAATCCTTCAACAACTCCAACTATCTCCGCTGACGTAGATTCAACTCCCTCTATGTGAACACGTACTGGAGACTCTTATGGTCTGTGAACACATCAACGTGCACTCCATACAGATAATGCCTCCACAGCTTCAGTTGCAAACACCACAGCTGCCAACTCCAGGTCATGAGTGAGATAATTCTTCTCATGAACCTTGAGCTGTCTGAAAGCAAAGGGTATCAACTTACCAGCCTGCATGAGAACACAACCCAAACCAACCCTAGATGCATCACAATAAACCGTGTAACTCTCACCACACTTGGGTAGAGTAAGCACCGGGGCTGAAGTGAGTCTGTCCTTGAGCTCCTGGAAACTCTTCTCACAAGTCTCCGTCCATTCAAACTTAGCGTTCTTCATCAAAGCTGTAAGTGGGGCAACAATGGAAGAGAAGTCCTCCACGAACCTGCAATAGTAACCAACCAATCCCAGAAAGCTACGGATATCGGTGGGAGTAAGAGGTTTTGGCCAGTTCTTAACAGCTTCAGTCTTTCTAGGGCCCACCTCTACACCTTGACCGGACACAACATGACCCAGGAAGGTCATTGATCTCAACCAGAATTCACACTTGCTGAATTTGGCATACAACTGATGCTGTCTAAGTACCTGCAAGGTTAGTCTAAAATGCTGTTCATGCTCTTCCTTGGTCTTAGAGTAGATGAGAATGTCATCAATGAATACTATGACGAAAGAGTCAAGGTATTCACGGAAAACTCGGTTCATGAGATCCATAAATGCAGCAGGTGCATTCGTGAGACCAAATGACATAACCAAGAACTCATAATGACCATAACGGGTACGAAAGGCTGTCTTTGGGACATCTCCATCCCTAACCCTAAGTTGATGATACCCTGAACGAAGATTAATCTTAGAGAAAAATTTAGACCCTTGGAGCTGATCGAACAAATCATCGATTCTGGAAAGTGGATACTTATTCTTTATAGTGACTTTGTTGACAAACAACACTGGAGCACCCCAAGGGGATATGCTCGGCTGAATGAAACCCTTATCAGTGAGATCTTTTAACTGCAACTTAAACTCTTTGAGTTTTGCTGGAGCCATTCTATAAGGAGGAATCGAGATTGGTTTAGTATTAGGTTATAAGTCAATACCAAAGTCAATCTCTCGAAGGGGAGGGACTTCGGGCAAATCTTTAGGAAACACATCTAGGAATTCATTCACTACGGGCACAGAGTCTATGAAGGAATGTCATGATCTAAATCATTAACACTCACAAAATGACATAGTAACCCCTTGGACATCATTGTACCCCTCCCAGACTAACTCTTCTTCATTAGGGAAGTGAAATCTCACCACTCTACTACGACGGTCCAAGCAAGCATAATAGATGTGAAGCCAGTCCATGCCAAAAATAATATCAAGATCATGCATGGGTAACTCAATGAAGTTTGCACACAATCTTATCACTTACAACTATTGGGCAATCCTTGTATAACCTATCAATTCTTTACATTTTCTCCGAAAGGCGTACTAACCGCTATAGGATCATGCAGAACTCAGGTAGTATTTCAAAAGTAAGGGCAAGCAGAGGAGTCAAAGGAAAGCGTAGACCCTGAATCAAGTAGATCATTAATAGAAGTTGAGAATACTTGCAGCATACCAGTGACCACATCAGCAGACTTCTCCTGCTCATCCCTCTACCCTTCAGGGCATAGAATCTGTTCCTCTTGGGAGGCTCGACTGCAGCTGCACTCTGAGGGTTAGGCCTAGGCTAAGCATTACCTCCAGCCTAACCTTTGTTTTGTGGACAGTCTCTGACCATGTGTCCACTCTTACCACAACCATAGCAGGCAATAGTGCCCTGTCTGCACTCTCCACTGTGAGCTCGGCCACACTTAACACAGTTCTTCTTAGGACGCTACATCTCACCTCCGTTGCCCCTCTTAGGTTCAGGTCTGCCACCTCTCGGTGTTGTACTCCTCTGAGAGTTAGAATTCCCAGAACTCTATTGCCCCTTCTTGAATTTGGGCTGCTCACGGACGCCAAAATTATTTCTGTGGCCTCCATGGCTGGGAGCTGCCTGATCTTAAGGCCTAGGCCTCGTAACATCACGAACACCTCTCTTCTTGCGGTTGTCCTCTACCTGCGGACATGCACAATTAACCTGGAAAGGTCCATATTATTATGGAACATGCAGACCGACACTCCTCCTCCAGGTCTCCATTGATTCCCGTGAGGAACCTGCCCATCTCATCCCTGCTGTTCTAAACCAGGAAGGTAGCATACCTGAATAATTTCAACAAAGCTAAGTACTCTCCTCATTCTTGCTATTAAATATTAAGGGAAGTAATATACCTTGATAGCTTAACAAACCTTAGGGAATACTCCCTGACCGTCATAGAGCCTTGTTTAAGGTTGATGAACTCCTCAACCTTGGCCTCCCTCAACTCTCTTAGAAAGAATCTCTCCAGAAATGTTGTCTTGATAAGCTCCCATGTGACTGACACTCCACCTAAGATACGACTATCTTTCCACATCTTGCACCAAGTCTATGCAACATCCTTGAGCTGGTAGGAAGCCAGCTCAGCCTTCTCAATATCAGTGGCCCCCATAGCCACCGGGATCTTATGCATCTCGTCTACAAACTCTTGAGGATCTCTAATTTCTTAGCCCCTGTGAATATGGGAGGATTCATCCTCGTGAAATCTCGCAGTCTGTCAGTCATGCTGCGAACTGGTGGGTTCTCCCTCTGAACATCCTGCCGGTTGACTTGGGTAGTCATAGCCTGAACCTGCATCGTGATGGCCTGTGCCATCTGGGTTAGAGATGCTCTCACCTCAAATCAGAATAATAAGTCCACATCAACCATATTAAGGGCATCTCTAGCCCAGATGGCACATGCCATCACGATGTAGGCTCAGGCTATGACTGCCCAAGTAAACCGACAGGATGTTCAGAGGGAGAACCCACCTGTTTGCAGCATGGCTGACAGACTGCGTGATTTCACGAGGATGAATCCTTCTATATTCACAGGGGCTAAGACACCAGAGGATCCTCAAGAGTTTGTAGACGAGGTGCATAAGATCCCGGTGGCTATGGGGGCCTCTGAATTGAGAAGGCTGAGCTGGCTTCCTACCAGTTCAAGGATGTTGCATAGACTTGGTGCAAGATGTGGAAAGAAAGCCGTATCTTAGGTGGAGTGTCAGTCACATGGGAGCTTATCAAGACAACATTTCTGGAGAGATTCTTTCCAAGAGAGTTGAGGGAGGCCAAGGTTGAGGAGTTCATCAACCTTAAACAAGGCTCTATGACGGTCAGGGAGTATTCCCTAAGGTTTGTTAAGCTATCAAGGTATGTTACTTCCCTTAATATTTAATAGCAAGAATGAGGAGAGTACTTAGCTTTGTTGAAATTAT